CTAGAGTAACAACAAATTAAATGATTTATAGCAGAACGCTGAACGTGAAGTAATGTTTTCACTTAATATTACATGAGTAATAAGCATGATCAAAAGGCCGCACAACTTTGTATTAATGGACTCTGTGGTTTATGGAATCGCTATAAATAGCCTGTCAGCGCTGAAATACAACTTTTCAATCAAATAATAATAGTTAATTAAATAGGCTGAGCTTTCGGTGCTGGGCATGACTTGTATATTCAAGTAATTAATAAAGGTACAAGTGAATAAGCTTAAAAAATATATAATAACTAAAATATATTATTATAAGGAGTCCCTTTAGGCAAGGTTCCGAAGATACTAGCAGCGTTCCCCCTTTGAATAGCTAGATTAATTCTTTGTCCGAGGTAGCTGCCAGCTCTTTGGTCTCCTGCAATGTCGACTAACCTATTCGCTATTTCCTTGAAAAGCCTTATATTACAGTGGTTGCGTCCTGTGGCTTTATAGGTAACTTATCTTTAAAGTTTTTTTCGTTAAAATGCCAATATATTTTGTTCATGTTGACTTCCTAAGTTGAGGCAAATTTCAGGTTAAATGATTTTAACTGGATTTATATTAAAGTTAGGGGGCTATGGTTTATTGTGGGTGATCATTATTTTTTAAGAGATTAAAAGGGGTGAATTGTAATTAGATAACTTCCACTCCCATCCCATCCATCCCTTGCCTAACATTATCAGTCATTCACTTCTGGTATGTACAAACGTGAATTTTAGTAATAAGTCTCAGCTTTCTATTTTTTTAAATAGTATTATGGTAACAATTGTTAAGTTACAATTTCATTAAACCGTTGGAAGGGCGAAGAATCCTGATGTACAGGTCTCTCTAGACGTAGTTCAGGGGTTCCGATACCTGCTACAACAATGTAACTTTTTAATTAATAATTAAGTTTTGAATTTTATTAGATTAAAGTGTTCGTCAGAACTCTATATCTGACATATTTCGATTTTGGGTTCGGAAACATGCCGCTTCACATCACGTTTTCTTTCACTGGTCCAAAAGCTTTCTTGTTCGAACTTAGGTTTAAGATATGAAAGCTTAACCACTAGGCCAACGCTGCTATTTTATTTAAATTGAATTAAAAGTCGACGCATGATAAAACAATGCAGGAAAAACTAAAAAATGATATCACATGTTTTGGTGAAGTGCCAAGATTTCTTGAAATCACGTAAACCAAAATTGTCTTCTCAGAAGGAAATTCGGTTTTCAGGTTTGTATCAAAGTGTAATTTGTAGAAATAAATATTATTTTCAGAATTGTGACTAAATAATATGTTTTTATATATATAAAAAAAAATGTGTTGGGTTTTATTTTTATTTAATGCATTGTGCATTCATCGAGAAAAGTCACACCGCGATCGAATTAACGCGAGTGAAACTTGGCACAGTTATTAGTAATTAATATATATATATAAAGAAAGACAACGTTTAAAAAAACATGTCAAAATAATACAATTCTAAGGCAGGAATGCGAACATTCTTTTCCACAAGATTTAGTAATACCTGTTAGTAGTCTGCATAGCAATAGGAAGGGTTATGGATGGATACGCATTGGAGAGAGTTTAAAGTGTTACAACTACTTGTAAAAACTAAAAGAGCACCACCACTATGTGGAACCAGCTGCCGACTGATTGTTTCCGAACCAATTAGACTTATCGTCCCTTAGGAAAAGAGAGTACCAATTCTTAAAAGGTCGGCAAAGTACTTGCGAGCTTTCTGGCAATGTGAGTATGCGGTATCACTTAACATCAGATGAGCCTTCTGCCCATTTGACCCCTGTTACATAAAAAAAGGAATATAAACTCAAATTTGTATACAGATTTTGAGACTTCGGTAGCAAGAGTTGTGTATCTAGGTGATATCTAGTAGGTAGGTATGAATCATAATTTTCTATCTTCCAATTACTAATTTAACGTAGGCGATTTGGATTTGTACCAAATCAGGAATAATTAATGTTATACGTCAGTAATCTGTCTTAAATGATAGGTATGTTTAATAAGTGTTCTTTTTAGTAATACAAACTTTTTCAAACAAGTCTAGACTCTAGAAGAGCCTTCTAATGAGCGACACTAATGATTTATATTTATTCAAAAGTCTAAAATACAACTGTGGTTCAGTCATCTTGGACATAGAATTGGGGTTCAATTCTGGAGAAAAACTAGTTTTTTCTTTGAAATGAAGATAAAATGAATCACCGTTGCCCTTCTAAAGATACATTGTGCGTATCTGGTTGTAGGGCACGTCCCACACTGCCCCATTAGGGAGTTACACAATATTTAATTATTATATTTATTGTATTAGGTACTACATCTGCTATATTATTTCTTATTATAAACGAAACATTAATACACACACATTGCGACACTTTAATTACTAAAAAGCCTCAAGACTCACTGATATTAGATAACACTCTAATATTATGTTAATTGTTTATCTTAGAGGTTATTGAACGATCCAAGCTATACAAAGTTCAATTTGATAATAATAGCACGAGGCATATACATTGTATTTGCTACTGATTACAAATCTTACAACAAACATTTCGATAGTTTTGTCACGTATTTGTAAGACCGCGTATAGTATCCAAGCACATTTGGTATACTAAAATCCTGTTTAAAGGACGAAATGCTTCCGTTTAGTTATAAATACGGCCACAGAGCGCTGATGAACTTTTACAATTAAATACAATTTGTTATTATTCTACGATCAGTATACTATATGATAATATGTTACGTAGTTATACAGATCTAGTCAAATATACTCTCGTTTTTACTAAATGCCCCCACAATTTAGCAAACAGTGGAATTTCATTCTATTTGTGAATATGAGGGTAATTCTTTAAGTATAATACAATTCTATATTGTAAAATTTTTTACTAGCATTAAGGATTTAAATGTTTTGTTTGTCCGTAGTTGCAAACCCGCTTCCAAGTGAAATTAAGAAATGAATCAGACACAAAGTGCACCAAATATGGTGCTAGAGCTTGCACCGTTTTTTATAGAATACCTGGTGATAGTAATAGCACGATGTAGATTACTTTGTATTTGCTACCGATTACAATTACCGCCCATGGACATTCCCAACGCCAGATGGCTCACAAGTCAAATTTGTTCGGAAATACTTCATTGGGCAGCTGGTTCCACATAGTGGTGGTACGCGGCATAAACCACGTTAGAAAAACACTCAGTTATGGATCGACGGACGTTGATTTCATATTGTCTGGACGTACGATGATGAAACTCAGCTGCAGGTATTAATCCCAAGATCTCCTCTCTTACAAATGTCGACACAACAACATGACATCTACTATGCCTACATAAACGCAACTAATTTTAGAAAAAACTTCACCGTGAACATTTTCTTAACGTCCAATCCCTTAGTTGGGTATAAATATTAAACCTTTGCGTACATTTCTCTTCAATCTCTTTGCAATTAATCCTAATGCAGTTCTTTAGTATGATGACATTAAGGAAATTGCACTAATGGAAAGCTCGTGATAAATACGTAGTAACTTTCTCTTTAAGTTGTGTAGCAACTAGAATTCAATTAACGTTATATAACACATTACGAGTTGCCTACGAAGGAATATATAATACAGGTAATATAGGTTGACCGTCTGATTTTGAATTTTGTTTCCGCGAGCCATACTTTTAAATAAACCTCAATTTTATGTGGTATTGGCGAAAATCTAAGAAGTTTAATTGCGCCGTCTTAACTAAAGTACTCATCTGTCTTATCAGTTCATAAATACTAATTGACTAAAACGAAAGCGTCCTTTGATAGAAGGGGTGAAATAAGATTGATTATTTTTTCATGAATAAGCGATCGCGCATGCTGGGAAGTACATTGAGTTATGTAATACATATTTTATAGAGAAATAAAACATTTAAAAAATTCAAGAAAGATTTTTTATCATATTCTTACCTAGGCTCCAAATTCCGAATCAATTTAGTTTATTTTTATAGACACCAGGAGGCTCCTTTTATACGCCCAGAACTCCATCAGAGGCAGTTTCGGCCTTTCAGGAATTGGTAGCTCTTTTCTTGAGGACCCTAATCGAATTGGTTCGAAATACTTCTGTGCAGTTTCCACATAGTGGTGGTCCAAAAATCTTAGAAAACGCTCTGTTGGAAGAGACTCGAGGTGATACGGATGGTATTTTGTATTTTGCCTTGACGTCAAAAACTCCTTAAATTCTTAAATGTAGAAGATCAGATCATTCTACCAAGCCAAGATACGAAGTGACTGGTCTAACGCTCCTGTGAGCTGGTACTGGGTCCAAAGTACTCCTATGGGGCCAATTCGTTTTAGTCAATCTGTCCTTCCCTTACCTTTGAGCTAATTTACCTTTCCTTCAATGACCGCGAAATGAAGTTTTCGATATGTCAACCGTTTCATCTAGCTGACTAAGAAGTGTTTCAAAGGAGTAACAAAGGAGTTTTTACAAACCATACTTTGTCTTCTTGGTTAAATTGGACTAGATTTAGTTACCCAGTCGAATAAGTTTCGACTTCAAACAAGTTTGTTCCGTACTCATCGACAACAGCCCGAGAATACCTGCCCGGCCAGTGTAAAAAGTATCCCCAGTCTGTCGTCCCAGCAATAATGTTGCTAAGCTGCAAATTATTATATGCAGAATAAACAGGGTCGGGATAGGACACAGCCTTTGGGAACCAGCATTCAAGGTCAGGTCGAGTCTCGTCATACGACTATCTCCATCACAAAAGCTAAATCAGTTGCTAATTTCTCAGGAGCCCATAGGCTAAGTTAGGTCTCTTCAACCATCGAAGGCTTTCGCTATGTCCAAACTTACCGCCACCTCCCCCTTGATCAATTGCCTCTCACTATGTGTAAGGTATACAAGGAGGTCACCAGCGACACACACGAACTACTAATCCTAATAGCTTGCTCTAGATACCCAAGGCGGCTGAATAATGGTTTCCTTATTTTGGAGAACAAGGAGGTTTAGCTTTGGGCGTAGTTGACGAAGACGATCGCCTTTTTAGGATCGGATGTATCAAGCATCTTCCAGACTTCGAACAGTCCAGTGTAAAGGTACCAAAAGGCGCTTAACGAGCCATCAGGCCTCCACACTTGGGGATCCATCAGACCGCTCCTTATGGATGTCAAGGAAGACAAGCTTACGATACACGTTCCGAATATAACTGGTCTAGTATCACACCCAATAATGTGTGGTTCCTTCCCTTGATCATCAAAGTGGAGTTCGACCAAAGAGAAGCTAGAAGATCGGCCTTCTCTTTCCGTATGGGCAAGTGATATCCTCCCTTCATGGTGGAATTGAGGGCTGAAAAATTCCTGGAAGCTTGGCAAGAGACCAGAAGGCTCGAGTTCCCGAAGGGAGGTGGGCCAATTTCTCACCAAATCTGGCAATTGCTCTGACTTTGCTTTAGCGATTTCTCCTTGAAGGACCTGGAGGCTGAATTGTATGCTTTTTACGTTCGCCGATAGTCCCAGATGTCACCCTTCTCCAGCTTTAAAGCATTCACGCTTGCCAAACCGCTGCAGGAACGCCTAAACCAAGGCTGGGACTTCCACCGACCGGCACCGCAGAGAATGGAATAAAGAGTTCCATACCCTCAGACCACCTCCGACAAGTCACACGGATCTAGTATCGACGAAAAGCAAATGGGCCCCAAGGTAGACCAAACCCATCCATCCCAATCTGCTGACTTATATGCCACACGCGGCGACAGCCGTGAACTAGCCGAAGAGGGCGCGTGAACGGCACAATGCTCCGGACACACAATGATCTGATGAACCCAATGGCGGTTCAACAGAGACTTAGTAGTTCTCCGGATTGAAGTCACAGAAGGTCCAACAAAGAGGGTTTTGACCATCCCATCTGGTATTCGCGTAATCGCAGGGACCATTTGCGTCAAGTCATAAGCCAAAGCAAAGTCGTGAAAGGATCTTCCCCATGATCGGTGGTTTCTGAGCCGAGCCAATCGGCATGGTGGGCGTTAAAATCACCAAGTATCACATTTCAGCGGTAGGAACCCTTTCGAGCAGGGAATCTGTAGCCATTTGGATGTGCTCAATGAGTCGGTCAGTTTCGGTATTTCCTTATGGGACCTATACAGGCATGCATAGAATCGCGGATGGTCATCGCAGTCTACGCGCAGCCAGAGGTTAGATAGGTCCCTTCCTTCAAGCGTCCGAGGCGACAGAACAATATCCTCTCTACTACACCAAACTCCGCCCGCGGCACAAATGAATGTTCCAATTTGTACCCCGGGTAGGAGAGGTAGGAAGTATCAGCCGGGAGGAAATCTGAGTCTCGGTAAGAAAGAGCAAGGCCGCTTCGCAGTCTCAAATTATGGACTGCGTTGATATTAGAATTGAGCCCCTAACATTTGTGAAGTCCACAGCGAGCGTGGACGGGGTGCCTTTGTTGAGTTGCTCCGTTTGCCCCACGATAACTGTTTTGATGTTGAGCGCAGAATTGCCCCCCAGAATACGAAGGGCAGCCTGTGCGTCCACCACCAGGTGCTGAATGTCCCGGTGTTGGACGCCCAGAGGGGGATTCTCCACCGCGAGCGCGTGTGGTACCCCCTGGGGTAGATTCTCTTTTTCTGCACCTTCATATTTCATGGGGAGTGGGGTGGGCTCGGAGTCTCTCTCACCCACAAACCGAGTACATAAGGTGAACTTATTGCATCACTTCACGCCGGTTTTCTGAGAGACAGTGGTACTGCCCCGGTCGTGCCTGCCCATTGGCTGAAGCCGAAGGCAACAGCATGGCACTCCCACTAGGAAGGGGTTGACTGATGCGCTGATGAAATAACCTCTGTCACAGGTTATTTCACCAGTGGGCGATGGGGTCGTCACGTCCCACGCCAAAGAAAATTTAGTTTATTTAATCAAAAAGTAGATCCTTTTATTTTAGAGAACTCAAAACACTTATTGTTTTGCAGGAACACAGGATCTCTCGGTTATATTAGATTAAAATTACTTCAAGCATTCCTTACAAAACGTAATCAATTGAAATACGTAAAAAATTACGAATTTATTGTGTAATCGTTAGGTAGCCAAATCGAGAACGTCTGCGTCAGACTTTGGCACTCTGAAACGGCTGATATTTACTAAATTAGGAAACTATAAATACATGTGTAACACTAGTTATGTAGCCAAATCATGTAAAAATTGTACCTCTATTTTATTGTTTTTTATAAAATTCTTTGGACTGTGTATTTGACTTTTGGAGTGTATATTTTTCAGAAAATTTCAGGGCTTGTTGAAATCTATGAGACGGACGCATTAGATTGAACAATACGTTAGAATATGTAATTTAAAAAAATTACCTATAGAACATTATACGACATGTTTTTGTTTGAAAATATACGGAAGACCATGCATCGTTCGAATCAAATTCGGGTACTTACAAAATCTATGAAAAGTCAATACTATTGACCTTATTGACTTTTTTTTATAGAACAAATGTTAACTGATACCGCCGCCCATGGACACTCTCAATGCTAGAGGGCTTATGTTGATGGCCTTATAAGAATTGGTACGCTCGTTTCTTGAAGGACTCTAAGTCAAATTGGTTCGGAAATACTTCAGTGGGTTGCTGGTTCCACATAGTGATGGTGAGCGGCCTTAACGAGATAGGAAAACTAACGTAAGGTGGGTTTAGATCGTGAATGAATTATGATCTAAAATTTAAGACTAGTAACTCGTGAAATACATAGAAATTTAGCACGTAGTACAAGCTCGTAGCTCCCAAAATACGAATATTGATTGTCGTAGCGTAGTAGCCGTGACCTGAACTCGGCAGCTACCTTTTGGCAGGTCTCCAGAATCCGGGGTTTTGAATTGCCCCTCAGCAAGCTGTCACAACGACGATATAAGTCAATACTTTAGCGTCGTCAATACGGTTTATACTTGCCAAATATGTAAATACTTAAATTCGCTTTTTTATTACAAAATCGGTAAAATGCAGACGTTTTGGTAATGTTTGTAGTGACTTAAAATTGACAGCTGATAATGCTGACTAAAAATATATGATTATTTAGAGTATATATCCCGTTTATTAACGTATAAAAGTTGTGTCAATGTTTGTATGAAAATTTTACCAATGCAGATACGCGCAAAACTAAATTTTCCTGATAAACTCTCGACAGCGTTAAATTCTTTGTCAAACTTATGATATTTCGTCTGTCTTTTTCTCGGTTATGCTTTGAGCTTACCTCTAAACAACACATACCAACTCTACCGTACAAAGTAAGCTGGTTATCAACACGTGAATAATATTATTGCAGTATCATTAATTGCTATTATGTAGGTGAGTGTCGCATTGATAAGACTTCTGATACAATATTCGTTCCGTATTACCTTGGCTCTAATTGTAATCTTTTTCATATAGTTAGCACTGATTATCTAAATAAAATTTTCTGCGACAGTAAATTGAATTTTAGTAGAACTTTCTTAGTATCTATAAGAATATGCACCAACGGTTTGTGGATAAATTATTATCAATAAATATTAAATAACTGTTTTAAAAACTACTACGCATATTATTATCACATAGTAAACAGGTTTTGTTGATAAGAGGTAGGTGAGTGAACTGGTTAAGACTGTTTAGAGAAATATTTTCTTAGCAATTCTTGAATGCTATCGTGAGTCCGAAACATAGAAAATTCTTTCTATGAGCATACACTTACTCATTTATTTATTTATCAGATTGATCACTTTAGTAGAAACGGTAAGAAATAAAACATAAAGTTAGAGTATTGGAGGCAATCTACAACAGACAGAATAAGAGAATAAATATATACAAACATGACAGCAGACGGGAAAATCATGTAGACCATACAATATTTGGAAAATCGCACATACTAAGACGACAAAAAATACAAATAATTATAACAATAAAAAAGATGCACGGCTTATGAAAAGTATAACAATTACACCAAAATGCTAATTTTATTGATAACGAAACTGTTGCAAATGCAAGACAGAAACAGCTGTATCTCTACTGAATGTTAATTATATCGTTTATTACTACAGAACAGGGGGCACACGGGCAGTAATCTCACCTGATGTTAAGTGATACCGCCGCCCATGGACACTCAATGCCAGTGGGCTTGCGAGTGTCCAATTCGTACGCTCTTGAAGAACCCTAAGTCGAACTGCTTCGGAAATACTTAAGTGGGCAGCTGGTTCCACATAGTGGTGGTGTGCGGCAAAAGCTGCCTTAAAAACGCTCAGTTGTGGAACTACGGACGTAGAGACGGTTGGAATTTCGTATGATTCGTAAGATGATTTAGTTCTGATAAATAAATCGCTAACCTTAACAGTTCGTCATAGAACGGAATCTTGTCTCACCTTTGTCTTGCTATTGTTGTATTATGTTTCATAATATCATTAAAGGTCACCAAGAAGTTCTACATATCTTGTCACATATGTTTTCATTGCGTCCACAAAGGCGAGTCTCATTGTGTGATTTATCGTAAATCAAGACGTCTATATAATTTTAAAAATAAATTGTTTTCAAGGAATGTTTTAATATAGGAAATTCAGACCTGAGATGCGATGACGCATAAATTTGATATTCAGTTTTAAAGTAGACCCTTGTCTTTGTGTGTTTTTTACTCTGTGCTTGCCTTTTTAAAATAAAGTATGTCTTTTAGCGATCATATTAATCACAAGTGATTAAAAACCTGACGCGACATTCGACGGAGGCAAAAACATACACGATGCATTTATAATCTGTATTACTTAGTATATTATAAATTAATGTTTATCATATTTTAAATCAACAAATTACAATATAATTTACTACTACAATAAATAAGCATTGAATGCACATTATTCTCTATCGGAATATGGAATATTTCGTTTATCACCTCATAGATAGCAATGTACTTATTGACAAAGATACTGTATAATGGGCACTGAGAGGAGTATTTCTACGAACTGCTATGTGTTCTATTTACCCAAATATGATAACAATGAATTACGTATTTGCAAATAAACAGTAATTATCAAGCTAATTAATATGTTTTATATAGAATATGTTAATTGTAATCTACATAATCGATACAATATATGTGTAATTCATAATGGCAGATATCACTACTTAGTATAAGCGTTTAGGATATAAGAATCGATTAGAATCCTTTTTTTTATTATTGATTAAACTCACCCAATTTCTCGGTTGTCCAAGGAGTTATTTGACGAGCGCGGTACCAGTGGCCGGTAACTGGATCTCGTCATGTTTACCACTTAGCAGGTTCCCCTCATCAGAATAACGGCACCTTCTCTCATGGATAATAGCTATTTATCGCACGTCACGTACAATTGATCACGACACGCCTGACACACAACGATACGTACTAACAACTGCCTAGTATTGTTTCGCGATGTTTATTCACTTGATAAGCTATCTATTGAATATAAACGAGGAACGAGTTTATTGCAATGCATTTGTAGATAAATAAAACGTCGAAAACGGCTTGTAAAATTATTTACATGAGCTTTGTGAATGGTTCGATCAATAAAATTAAGCTTGGGGTGAAAGCTCGTCCCCACACGTTCGGCCGGTTTGCGAATTCAATTTGTTTGCGCGCCATCTTTGATACAATTGCGGTACTAAGGAAGTGGTACCTAAGAGGTACTAAATTATGTAGTAGAGAACTGTACAAGAAGCTATGGATTGCTAGACGCTTTTGTAATTGAAAATGTCTCAAGTGGCTGTTCACTTCTATTCCTTGTTTCCTCTTTAGAATTATTATACAAAGATAACGGCATTGCTACCTATTTAGCAAATACAATTATCACCTGTTTGATAACTTTTATCATATGTATGTGTCGCAATGTATAAGGTATAAGGACATATTTTTATATGATCGTATATATATATATAAATGCATTATTTTATAGCAGCTGAAAAAGTAATAAAATTTATCTGTTAGCAAATAAATGTGCTGTTATCAACTTTTATTTTTCTCTAGGTATTTAATTTGGCTCTTGGTAATAGCATCTGTCCTTTCTATTTTTATTGATGAATATTTTTAATACGGATTAAAGTAATTTAGCCGCTCCAAGACATCTTTCAATAGATTTAGAAACATTGCGTTAATTTGAATTTTATTTATTTAATTACGCGGACGGATTACACAATTACATTTACGTACAACTAGCTAAATAAACATTTTAAACAGTAATATTAAGTTAAGAGATAAATATTTCAAACACTTCTTTTTTTCTGTCAATGTTTACTTTGGTTTTACGTTTTATAATCCGTATAATAACCAATATGTTGGCTGCCCAAACAGAAAAAGCAAGAAGATATATATACCTACACTTAACCAAACATTTAACTCTTACAATAAAATTATTTTTCTTTTTTTTCCTCATCGGTGTTCTCTTCAGATTTCTTGTCTTCCTTGATCAACTCATCAAGTTCTTTTTCAGCATTTTTGAGGTCTTCTTCAGTAAGGTTAAGGTCCGGAAAGCGTTTCTGAAATATGTTGGTTTGTCTATTCATTAAATTGTATCGGTTGTAAGTATTTAGTTTTAATATTTACTTGTATTTGTTTATCATGATTTTACTAAATATATATCTATAATATAAAAATGAATCGCAAAATGTGTTGGTAAGCGCATAATTCAACAACGCCTGGACCAATTTGGCCAATTCTTTTTTTTATAATATTCCTTGAAGTACGAGGATGGTTCTTACGGAGAGAAAAATTTAAAAAATATCGAGTGAAAAAGTCTAAAAACAACACTTTTCTATATTCCCATACAAAAGATTCGTAATAATTCTTAAAAGTCAATTTGAACTTTAATAGCATACCATAAAGTTTAAGTGTTAGTGGAGGGGTTCCGGGAAGGTAAATTTTTATTTTTTGACATAATGTATTTGTTGTCTTATCAACTTTCTTTTTTTTATCTTACTAGCTAGACCGGTGTCCCGAATAGCAGAATAAGTATTTAAAAAAAATAAAAAATTTACTGTTAGGCGGTACGATGTTCGCCAGGCCAGCTAGTTTTTTATAAAATTATAGACCATATTCATCTTTACACCGCTCTGAATAATAAGACCGCCCTTTTTCACCATTTGTTACCTTTTATTACCTACTATGAGTCCTCTATTAAACATTGTGAGGTAAATAAAGTGTTTATTATACTGTAAAATATAATTTAAAAAAAACAGAGGCGCTACAAACCAATAGCGCCAATAGGCCTCGGATTTGTGTATGTGTTTCGTGATTATTTGTTTTTTGTAATTGGAAAATAGTTGATCAGCCTGTGCCTGATATACGCCGTCGACTTTTTGGCTCACGACGATATCTTTCACCGAGCCGAGTGTAAGCAGAAAGTCTATTGGTGTACAGGCGGGATTCAATACGAGTCACACGCTGAAGCCCCTAGCCCAACACTGCTCTTCTGTTTTACTATTGGAAGATTCACGATACTGTTTTATCAGTCTGCTATCATCCCGAGTCACTTATAAATTTATACTCGCGTATACCTTCACTCTTCGTTATAAAAAACAAATTTATATAAAATACGTCGAGACAAATAAATAAGCAAAAAAAGCTATAATTTAAAATTTAATTACAATTATTGAAGCCTTTTTTTTGCTTATATTTTTTCCTTAATCGCTCAACTGGATACATCCCATTGGATAGACACATTTATGGGTCTCTTTAATTGGTTATTTTATAGGATCATGTGATCAGCCCTCTGGGCGTGAAGCCGATATAATAATTGCTTCGCCCGAAATAGATGCAAAAGCTTTAAAATTTTGACGGACGTTTTATTAAACTATTAACTGTTTTAATGTTATCAAAGAAGTACGTATATGTTTACTGAAATACGAAAGATAAGATTATTGTTTGAGTGGCAGAGATGCAACCGTCTTTGTAAACTTTGCAGGAGGAAAATATTGATACAAAACAATGATTTGTTTAGTATTACAATGTGAAACAGATTGTCAGCATTTTTCCAGCGAGTATTGTCTCTAAAAGATGTTTGTATAATTTGGTTTCGCACAGTGAATCTGAAGATTCTAGGCTCGATTTTTAAGTAACAGTAAATATGTCAGGTAATAGAGCAAAGAGCATCGGGAGGTACTAATAAAGCAAGACAATTCTACAATACATATTATTAAAACAATTTGAACGCCATTTTTATTCATGGTGATTCTAGAAATTATCTTGCGAATAGTATCTTGGTATAAGCCAACGTGATAGGGACGTAGGTAATCCTACGTGATACATCCCTATAAGGAAAACTATTAGTACAACAAACGCTCTTTAAATGCCTGCCATGCAATAATGTGACAACAGATATTATAACGATTAAGCGATTTAAATGCAATAAAGGAGAGAGTTTCGATTTTTTTTAATAAGGATAGTTTTTATATAATACTAAATACAACTACACTAGTTGGAAATTGTGGTAATCAAACCGGATCAACTCGCGTTGCCAGCCTTTTAAAATGATAATTTTTAATGAGTATTTTAAAGATTTATTTTTACTTACAAGTCATACAATTGATTTAATATAAAATGCTTGCTAACTAAGAGATCTTGTTCAAGTATTTCTTTCTCATATTAATTTTACTCCTAATGAGAAATAAATCCAAACCACGACATCACGAGAATAACCTTCAACGGAAAGTAATATCTCACCTGCAGTTCCTTCAATGAATTCTGCATATCATTTTGTTGTGACCGTAGTCGCCTTGGTAGCATAAAAACAGCATGAAAAAGCCTTAACATAACCCATCCGAGGCCTGTCATGATGCCATACGTGAACATGCTCTTCAGCATCGCCCAGTAATCAACGCTCACTTCTTGGCGTTTCATAATAGCAGTTTTATAATATCGAATGAAAGTATGAAAGACGCGCGTTCATATGTGGGGTTGGACGTAATATGTCCACCGATGGCCCATTTCCCATCGAGTCAATGTCGTAGTCATTATTAATGACCCTGGGGAGGCTCGCACGTGTATGGTTATAAACGTTTTAAAAGAAAAAAAAATTCTAAAAGCTGAAAACGGACCGTTTAAAAAACAGGAAACGTGCAGTTTTATAAAAAATATGGACAAGGTGCTCATGGACATTCAAACTGTTAGAATCGCCAGTGGGTTGCAATAAGTAGCACCTTGTTATAAAAGAATATGTCGAGTATATACTTCGGTTTCATATGGAAATTTCATTGAGCAGTGTTGGCCTAGTGGCTTCAGCGTGCGCCTCTCATCCCTGAGGTCGTGGGTTCGATCTCTGCCTGTGCACCAATGGACTTTCTTGATCTTTCTATGTGCGCATTTAACATTCACTCGAACGGTGAAGGAAAACATCGTGAGGAAACCGACATGTCTTAGGTCCAAAAAGTCGACGGCGTGTGTCAGGCACTGGAGGCTGATCACCGACTTGCCTATGAGATTTTAAAATGATCATGAAACAGATTAAGAAATCTGAGACCCAGACCTAAAGAGGTTGTAGCGCCACTGATTTATTTTTTTCATATGGCAAAGTTCTTACGATTTTTGTCAAGATCTTTTATGAATGACAATTCTTTATTTAAAAAAAAAACTATTAAGCTTTTTACTTTATTGAAAAAACTACTCAAAAACAATGTCCACTAATTGCGCAAACAAAGCCATTTGTCTACAAGGTTTCGGAAAAAAATCAATAGAAGTAATTGCTGGAAATAAAAACTTTTATTGTAGACTTTGTGTATGACATCAATTACCATGTTGCTAGTTATTAAAAATTTATGAGTATGTTTATAATTTGTCGGGTTATTTCATTGTCTTAACTTGGCAGGTTGTTATTTTGCTTCCTATAGGTGTAAGGATTTCTGGTATATACATTTAGATTTCTTATATCTTACCATAACCGCCAGATCGCCTTCCATCGCTACGCAAATATCGATAATTGACCGAAACATTCAATGGATGGCACGATGGAGAGGCGGAAAGTCAACGAAAAGAAAATGATTATATATATGAGTAGGAAATGAAGTACATAGTGTCCAAATACAAGCATCAGAATATATATACAGCCTCATCGTACTGCCAGTGGTATTCCGTATCCAGTCAGAATTTACTAAGACTCCAGTCATAGAAACAGAACGATAAAACAATTGGTAGTTAACGACTAAATAATTCGGGTACGAAAATAAAAAACCATCATACAAAGAAAGTATTTATTATATTCCATTATATACAACAAAAACAAAAATAAATATTGACTTGATAATTCTGTCTTAATATACAAAAATCTTAATCTTCAAGTTATTTACAAACGATATTATACATATTAATTAGTTAATGAAAACTTTTTGGAATGAATAGTCTTGTTTTTAATTACTAGGAAAAACATACAGCATGGCCCCTGGAATACGGATTATTGATTTTTATGGCCTTCATCAAATACGTTTTGTCACGTTCATTTACTAGCAAAGTGACACGAGAGTGACAAGGATTCTCTCCTTCTATATTAATGCCTGTGTATTTGTGAGATAGGGGACAAGAGGATTAAAGATTTTTATGGTCATATTTTATTGACAAGATAAACCTCAAATATGTATAAATTAAGACTAATTATTATCAGAGTGGTAAAGACCATTCAATTCAATAGAAATTTTAGTCTATGATTTTTTTTCAAGAATTATAAAAGTGTTGAGACTACATGTATTTAGAACGTTGGGATGATTACTCTGTATCAAATAAAACGCGTTTAATTATGATCACTGTTTTGAATTGTCTCGAAGTTTGACGTGACACGTGACGTGAACAGAATAATGGTCACGGGTTGACAATTAAATTCAAAACGCTTGTAGAAATTTTATAATACGCGTTTTAAGCAGGTAGTGTACACAAATAGAAGAATACTGATATAAGATTTATTAGAATGACTGTGGCTTGACAGTTCTTTGGTTTGACAGTTGAAGTGACATTAGATTCCGTATTTTTATTGAAACTTTAAAAGGTGATTCCATTTTGAATTGAATTACGACTTCGGGTTTGACTCGCCCCGACATAGGGAAATACGGCGCCTAATTCTTGACGATATCTTCTAAAATTAAACAAACAAAAATAAATATTCATCCATACCTTTATATATTCTAATAAATTGTTTTACATTACAAAACTTTAGAAATATTTTCGTATTTAACCACATGACATCTACAAAAAGCGTCTACGGGGGTCCACGGGTAAACGCTGTAAAGCCTAAACAATTATGCTTATTAAATATTGCGTTACTGTAAAGTAATTAGTTAAAAGGCGATATCGGTTCTAGTACAAAATTGAAAGGCACTTCCAACATTATAGATTCGACCATTAAACTTTAACTTTGGTCTGTTGTGTAATCTTTCCAATGGTTATCAATGAAGTAGGCTCCTTAATCACCTTCTACAGCTAATAACAAAAAAGCCTTTAATGAAGAGACACACCAATTTGAGTTATAAAACCTTTTATCTCAAAGTTATGACAATATTTTTCTTTCCGAACTCTAGGACTGAAAATTATAAAGCCCTTTCAAACTTTCCTTAGGTATGGCTTATACACATTTGTAAGCTGTCTAATTGCATGATAGGTCCTTATTGCTTCATCCAGTCTCTGATTATAATTACGCTTAACTATAATTGAGAATAATCGCAGAGCAGTGTGAAATCTATATATATAAAAGAAAAATGGTCTTCGTTTGAGGCTCCTTCCCCTAAACCCTGATCGTATCGACTGAAACTACCACCATTCAAATTTTTCCTAGTGGTTATGGCTATTTATTTATTAAATTCAACGTTCCTTCAATTGCTGTTTTACTTTTATGAAAATTTATCCATACGGACTTCACCGCGGAAATTCGGGAGGCTTCCTAGAACCTCTAAACGTCAAATCTGTTAAAAACTGATTTCGAAATATTTAAATTTCTTAGCGGGAAGTTAAAAAGAAGAATAATAAAATATGAAAAATAAAATATGAATAAAATTTATTTTAATTCGTCCAGCAAAGCGGGCTCGAAACGGCTAGTATGAAATAAAATCAGGTACTTTTATAAATAGCTACGAACAAAGCGGCCTTAAAATTACTATTGCCTTTAGTTTAATTTATGATATGATTTTTATCCAACTAATTAAGAATTATTATAAACAATTATATTTAGACGAATTGATGTATTTAAATATAAATAATTTACAAACAATTCAAAGGTCTATATTAAAAGTATTTATGAATAATGATGAAAATAAATATTTATTTAAAGTCTTTTTTCTTTTGATTCTTTGTTTCAGAAGGATTAAAGCGATTGCTTGCCCCGGAGTTGTTAAATTTACAATAAGGAAAATTGTGATTAAAAACGCGTTTTGATGCGGTGAAGTGTTCTTTAACACTTTATGTATTGTGACAAAATTTAATAACGCAGTAAGTTAGAAGTCTTTGCGTTACTGGTTACAATTGTTTATTTATATACAACATGACAGAAAATGCCATTGGAGGCAAACAAAACATTCCGGCAAATACGTACACACATTCAGATATGAACCGCACAGACAAAATATTATTTTCCCGAATACCATAGCATGATTTTGTCTCACCACGTTACAATTATATAAAAAACGGCAATTCACTTAGCAAGAACGCGGCACGTGTTTGCAATTCTCAATGTGTTTAAACTCAAAGACAATTGATAATTCAAGAGCTGACATGATATTTGTTTCAAAATATAAATGCCTAGTTGCTATATCTAAAACTCCAGCCCTGATAAGCATCTTGAAATTTCAACATTTGGTAAATCTTTTATTTCCGTGAAAAGGTTATACTTGCAAAACACTTAAGGCAAATTAACTTATGTTTTGATTTTCAAGGTCCGTTTATATTGACAGACATTTTATGGTCATGAGAATTTTATTATCTGCGCATGCACCTTAATCGGGGTCAGACGCGGTCAACATCAAGGCAATTTGATGCTCTACTCACGGTGTCCGGTATATGATCACAGACACGTATACGCTGACAAAATGCCTTATAGAGAATATTGGTCAGACACGGCTGCATAATCATCAGCGCAGCCTTATGACGTTAGATGTATACGTTATATAAGTGGAAGAATATTATATTGTCTATGATGCACGCATCTGTCACGCTCTATGTGAAATGTCTGTGGATATAAACGAACCATAAAGCGTATGGAGGTAGAATTCCATGTACCCGGTCATACATATTCGATACATGCCTAGTGCAAATTTTAGAGAATAAAATGAGCTTTCTATAGAATAAATTACGACTTGTACCAAATACTGGTGTTTTATATAGAACCTATTAATGTCTACAAACAACTACGTAAAAAGTGTTATATAAAAATTTAATTTTCTTTATACAGTATAAAATATAATCTTTAGGATATGTTAGTGCCGTGCACAGTTAAGGCATATTTTGAAGACATTCTTTGATCTGTGTCCAGGCTTGGAGGTTCTGGAAGTAAATTGTCATTTAGTTGCGGTTGCTTCTTTTGGCATTGGATAGGGCACATACAGGTGTTACAGTGCATACAATATGTTTTACAAATGCGATACATTGATTTGATGACAGTCTCTCGTTGTCCATAAGTGCTAAAGCATTTAGAATTGGGAATGTAATTCAGAAAATTGCGACCCATTCAGGTATTTTAAGTGCCCATGAGCGTAAGATTGACTTTACATTATATTAAAATCATTAAGAATTTACCGTAAGATTATTTTTCAATTTATTTATTACAATTAACAACACTTGAATGGATTTTGATTCAATGTCTATTTTATAAACTATTTTTAAATCATGGAATTGTCACAATTATGTCCAATATGATATTTGCTTTAATAAATAAATCTAACAAATTAATTCAATTTTATTACAAATAGCATACCTTTTTAGCAGACTTCACTTGCAATGCGATGAAATTTACAAGCGACTCGTGCAAATCTTTATCCTTTTGCTTTTGAAAGTATTCAATCTCAACGGAAGCCTTTTTTCTGAATTCTCTGAAATTTATAAAATACAGTATAAGCCTTACATCTTATTTGAATATTTTATATTTAATAGTCTAAGAATTTTATAAATAAGAACGTATTGAAATAGTTTATTCGTTGCCTGCGCACTTGACAGCAGCCGAAATGAATTCGTCATATTATTTTCAAAACAGCGCCCGTCAAACACGATATCGTTTCTAAGGTTTTTGTACGCAATTTACAATCTCGCGGTACAAAACCTCGATATTGAATCGCAATTGCTAGAAGGCGTTACAGAGATCTCAGCCAATAGTCTCAGATCAGAGAAAACCCATAAATTAAATTATAAAACAAATTTAAAGAATATCTATATATAGATATTCTTTACATTATTATACTACTTTAGTAGTTGCAACGCATTTTTTGCATGATGATATCATTTTCGAGTTATTAATTTATCTGGATAATATTAGTTAAATATTTTATATTTACATACTCTAGATCTGTCCGTGCTCGTTCAATGGCGTGCGTGTCCGCGAGTATCTTCGTGTCGAGCACGCGCGTGCTTTGATCGCGTACTATGTCCGGCTCCGTGGTGCCAAATAAACGTGACATTATCCCGGACTTTCCGGCCGCTGCACGGTTACGTTCCGCTATTCTGTGTAAAAATAAAACGAAATGTCTTTTTTGTTTAAATATTGTGTTTATTGTGTACCTAAAATAATAAATAATGTCATCCAAACTCACGATTTGGCATTGCCACAATTACAATTTTCATACTTCTTAAAACTAAAAACGAAACAACAGTTCGTCCAACCTAAAGGGAGGATCCTGGATCATTCTAACCACTGACTGTCCCGAAGGACCCAGTGCCTAAGTTCGAGAAATTATATATAATATCCTTATCGGAAAAAACTTGGTCAGCGCATTTCATAGTATCAAGTCATCGTGTTTACATACAAATGTATGATTTTTATTAGATGTTGATAGATAGTATGAATATTTATTGAAATACAAAACACAAAGGACTCCACCCATTGTATTTAAGATATAACTGACAATTTATTAAGTACCTGTTAGTTAACGCATCGTTGGCATTCTCCAAATTGCGCTGTAACGCTTCGTGGTTAGCACAGAGATGTTGTAATGCAGCCGCGTAAAAGAGATATTCCTTTAACTGATCTGCTAATTGCTCTTCATCCTCTGCTATTGATTCTATTGAATCTGCTATTGAATCTGTAAAATATATCAATAAAAATAAAAATAAAATGATTTAATATAAACAAGCAGACCAACATCATTAAGTGTAAGATTCACTCGCAAACTACGACTCTCGTATCCAACGTTTTTACGTACTGTAGTAAAAGTCTACGCTAGGTTTGACTTCCGTAGGTCAAAAATCTATTGGATTTTCCCCTAAATCCTATACTTATACCTGGAAGCTTAGCGCTACAATTCTGATGATGATTCTGAATCTTTCCTTAATAATAACAGAATTGATTTTTCATATTTATTTATTTTAAAACACGACAATAATAATATAACTTTACAAATTGTGTATTTGTACATACAAAAAATTTAACAATATAGATTGAAGAAAATGAAAGACATCAAACTAAGATATAATATAAATATACGCAAAACAGCACAAATCAGAACATTCTAACTAAATAATTAATCATTAATTAATTACTAGTATAAATCATTGGTACAGATACCGGCAAACATCACTGGGAGGGGGGCGGTGGTGCGCGGCGGCGGGCAGACTAACGTGTCGATCGCGTGATTGGTAAATCAGTTGACGTTTGTGTCCCAGATGCGCAAACTTTCCCCCACTCCCTTTATTAATGCTCAAGAAGTTTGACGGTATCTGTACCAAAGATTTTTACTAGTAATTAATTAATGATTTATCGAATTATCAAAATGTGCTTATTGTAATAATATGTTTGAATAATAGACACCAAATTTAAAGTTATTACCGAAATAATGTCCAGCCTTCTGAAGACCATCTCCCATCTCTTTTTCAATAACACTCCACTCGCTAAACAGCTTGCCATAGTTTGCATGCAACTTGCACAGAGCATAGTTCTTCTCTATTATCTTTGATCTGAAATATTGAAAACCACAGACTCTGATTGAACTAAAGATTCTATTGATGATTTCCATCGCAATGCACTATATTTTGTTTTTTGTATTAATACTACTAGTTAATGTGTCTATCCAATATCAAAACCAGTACATTGTATTCTGCAATGCAAGGTAAAAAAGCCTTAAACCCCTTAAGGTTAACCTCTAACAAACTATAACAACTTAAGTTTTTTCAACATAACAAGAAAGGTAATTTGGCACTGTTCTGACCTCAAATCCCAGGCTTCTATATTTAAATTCTCTATTAAATTAAGGAATAATTGACTATTAATTAATGTTAGCAAGGCTACATAATTAATCAGGTAGAAATCACATCATATTCAATATATGAAATGTGGCATGAAGTATGATTATATGTAAATTAACTCTTTTATAGTAGAAATATAAAAAGTGTTTGATGTTAATTGCTTAGTACCAGAAGTTTCGGCATTATTTAGTTACAATTAAATACAAAATATTTACCTGGTGTAAAGAAAATTTCCTAGATTTGCCTCCAATTGCTTTCCATAGTTTTTAACCCCATCAATTTCGGGATCTGGTTTCTTGAGCCTTATTGATAGAGATAGAGATTTTATTTTGTTTTCAGCCTGCAAGAGGTATCCTGGAAAAAGAAAACTAAAATTTGAACATCAATTTTATAAACAAAACTAGTAACATATGGCAAGACAAACAGCAGGGTGTAAGAATCCTTTGAAAAACACATATAACAGAACTCTGAATTTGACTATTTAAAAAATATTAACTTCATATAGACAATTTGTTAGACTCCGAAACTAATATTTAATTTACATTCTACTATTTAGATTAACCTTTCAATAATTATACTAGATAAATTATTTAATGTCCCTTTCACAACAGCTTAAACTTCACATCAATTAATTATATAGTGAAAAACCACACCACTATCTGTAATAGTTTCTCGCCATCCATGCTCCTGCTGGAGAAAATTTATGAACTGATCATCGAAGCAAAGTTGGGGGTGTGAAGCTACTCGCAGTAAAAAGTTCTCTAGGCCAGCTCTTCTACGCTCTATAAATTCAGGATCTGTTGTATCACTTTTTCGCCAGGCATAGATTATCTAAAACATTATATTTCATTTTGATGATAAAGATACAAGGGCTAAATTTCTAGATATTTCTTTTATATATTATAAGAAGAGTATGTACTTTGTCATTTATACAAGGTTTACATGACTTTACAGAAAGTAGCGTCAAGTATCAAGCACTTGTAATACAAAAGCTGCTAGCATACGGGTGTCAGTGTTAAGATTTTTTATAAAATAACACCATGAATGATTACAAAATACTTTATGGATTGGACACAATTCACAAATGTGAAAACTTATTTATTTAAACAAAACAAATACTTACCCTTTTCTCAGGTAATGGTGGGATAACAACATGTGGGTAAGTCACTTGTAGGTAATCATGAATCTGCTCAAACTCTGTGTACCTTCTCCATATTGTACTGATTTTAGTCTGAAGCTGTTTGTACTCAGAATCTGTTACTCTGAAAATAATACATTAATATTGTATAAGCAATAAATTACAATGTAAGACATCTTTGGGCATTTATGTGCTATATTTGTAGCCAAGGGAATACAACACAGAAAATCTTCTAGAAAAAAAACATCTAGCGGTGGCAGTCAGTCTTAATTTAAAGCAAGACTATAGATTAGATTACCCAATTAAAATAATTATAATACAAAATAATAATTGAATAAATAATTTTGGACAATATGTATTAAAAAAGTAAAGAATTTTTACATTGTTTTATATTGAATAATTAATAAGGAAATAGAGTATTACTATTAAACAAATTGTCTCATCAACTACACAGATACTTAGCAGCCTATTAAGTAATTAAAAAATTAGTCAGGGAGTTTGTATAAGTTTTTAAGGAGTGAAAGTATTGCAAATCTTACTTCACATCTATTAGATACACTGTGTAATGATCTCGAACATGCAGGGTCCCATTAGCTCTCTTCTCAGATTCCACAATAGTAATATCCACATGTTTAATTAATGCATCCTAAAAAATTCATTGTTTATTATGTATTTTGTTACTAAAAAGTAGGCGGTAATGGTGAAAACTCGATTAATAGGTACTTGGTTTTCAAAGTCTTCTAATGCTTGTATATTTAACGATTTCGAATGCTTAGCTGGCGAACTTTCCGAAGACATTTTTTAACAATTTTAATGGAATTAGAAGTTTTGATGAAATTATGAATTATGATTGTTGCAATCTCAAAATTGTTGATTTTTGTTTCCAGTTTTTATACTAATTTTTTACTTCTAAGTCATAATTGAATTTGTCAATGCCGTTGACATTAAATAATACTTCATCCGTCAATCAATCATGTCAAAATGTATACATAAACATGGTACCTATGTCATATACCAGTTCCAAATCCTTGCTTTAAATAAATGAAAAAAGGGATTTGCAGTAGTCGAACTTTATGCATTATAATAGTAAGATTAATTAAAATCATGTTGATATATTTGAAGTTCACCATATCAAACATGTCTGGTATCTCCAGTCTGCACTGAGATGGCGTTTATCTGAATAAAAACACTTTATTTTGAATATAGTGTGTACTTTTTTATTAAAAATATACCAGAATTATAAAAAAAAATAGTATAATTAAATAATAATGAAAATGTAATGATTTATAAATTAAACTATTATAACGGTATTGTCGATGTAACACTCGAATCTCCTTGTTTTAATTGCATGTTGCTATTAAAGCACGGAGATTCGAGTTGCGGTAATCAAACCTGTAATTATTATGGAACTGAATACCTAAGCCTCTCATGAAATTTCTACATATTGATTTGTAATTTGTGAGTAATAATTGATTTTGTGTTAATGAGGGCCGACAATTCGTCATTTCCAATTAAGTACGGGATATGTTTCATTATATCGAAAAACCAAATTACAACTACAATTCAAAATCAGAACATAATTTTGTGCTTCGATGAATATTTATGGGAATAACTTAAAAAGTGTTGATAAAAAATAGCATGTAAGGTTTTTACTTTATTTGTGTGTAGCACCATTACTAATGCGCTGAATCGCGCTTACAAAGTTATTTCGACCGCTAAGGATATATCCACCTTCTTGACCTTAGCCACTTAGTCCTGCGGCGGTGCAATCAGTGGTAAGAAGTCGAGGATCCTCCCTATACGTTGCGGCAAGAGCAATACTTTCACTCAGTAATTCATTAATTATATATTAGGTCCTTACATATGAAATTGGCGTATTTCGTACTGGCCACTTTAATCACGATGTTCTCCTCTTTGGTAAGGAATTCTAAATTCAAATTTGTACACCTATTTACTCATGTATTTGTGCTTCGATGACCGTTATTCATTTGTTTTTTTCTTCTGTTTTTTTCTGTTTGCGTCACTCATTTTACAAAATGGAAAACTTAAAGTATCGCATTATTTACGAGTACGAGTTCCGCCGTGCCACTAGTGCTGCGGAAACGACTCGAAGGGTGAATGATGTGTATGGCGGTCATGTTGCAAAAGAAAACACAGTTCGTTTTTGGTTCCAACGTTTTCCATCTGGAAATTTCGACCTGCAGAACAAGCCCCGTGGACGGCCTGAGACCCAAGTTGATAATGAAGTATTGAAGGCTATTGTGGAAGCGGATCCATCGCAAACCACGTCCGAGTTAGCTGCAGGCTGCGGTGTTAGTGATAAAACTGTTTTAATTCACTTGAAGCAAATTGGGAAGATTAAAAAGCTTGAAAGATGGGTACCTCACGAATTGACTGAAGCAAACCGGCAAACGCGCGTCGACTGCTGCGTTACATTACTGAACCGGCACAATAATGAAGGTATATTAAACCGAATCATTACCTGTGATGAAAAATGGATTCTTTACGATAATCGGAAGCGCTCAGCGCAATGGTTGATCCTGTCCAGCCAGCCAAATCCTGCCCCAAGCGAAAATTAACCCCAAAAAAGTTACTTGTAAGCGTTTGGTGGACTAGTGCCGGTATTGTTCATTGCAGTTTTCTCAAATCTGGCCAGACTATTACGGCTGATGTCTATTGTCAGCAATTGCAAACCATGATGGAAAAGCTAGCGGCTAAACAACCTAGGCTGGTCAATCGCTCCACGCCACTGCTACTTCACGACAACGCTAGACCACACACTGCACAACAGACGGCTACCAAATTATAAGAGCTTCAATTGGAATGTCTAAGACATCCTACGTACTCTCCGGACCTTGCTCCAACAGATTACCATTTTTTTCGAAATTTGGACAACATCTTGCAAGGGAAAAAATTTAACTCTGATGGGGCAGTCCAAATCGCCTTCAAGTGGATTCAAGAATGGTTCAGATTATGTACAATTAGGTAGTGTTTTTGTTTGCTTTAATAAAATTTTTGTATTTAAGACGTGTACAGGACACCTTCTGTAGGGGCTATAAATTTATATTGTTTAAAAGAAAGAACAAATTGTATAAAGATATATACTATTATTAGTACCTAGTTATTAAAAGTATAGACATCTTCGTATCCGTTAGTAATGAGCTACTATTGTGAAAAATGTTGAATGTTACAATAACAGCACGATCGCGATAATGAGACAAGTTGAAAGGACAAATTGGTGATCTATAGTTGAATCGACTTTTATTTTCTATTGGTACAATCACAGTTCATTGTTACCTCGAGGTAAAATTACACAATTCAATTTATTTTTAAATCTATTCAATATATTTTAATATAAAGAACAAATTGTTTGATTCGCTCCATGGCACCGTGATGCGACGTTTGCTCTATCTCACTCTCTCTCTCGATCTTTCTCACTTGCTTGGTCCCTACTCTCGCTCCATGGCTATTTGCTTCATGCTACGTTCGCCCTTTCTCACTCTCTGTCAATCGGTGTCAATCGCTCTCTCCCTTTTCTTCAACAAAAACGCTGCCTATCTTCGTGACGCTAATATTATTATTATTGCGTTTCATCCGTAAAAATGTTACGCTCATGCGCCTAAAGAAGTTTCACTTTTTCTTTCTAACTCGATACGTAACAGAATTACGTCTAAGAAAAAAACGTCTTTTGTAAACTTTAGCAGTAAGCGTAAGCTTTGCAGTGAATTATGAAAAATAAACAAAATAAAACCTTACAATGGACATAAGTCTCTTTAACTTGCATTATAAACCAATTTATATAATATATATTTTAGTTTCACTCCATAATAGTGAATAAAAAGAATATCTCAATAAATTGCCACCGTTTTATTAAAGGCGACATATTGTGGCCAAGTTATTTTATCTTGCAGCTCAAAGAAATAAAGTGAATGCGAATAATTCCGAATCAAGCTGCTCTGTAATAAAAAATGTGCACTGTGGCTGTATCTGTCATCCTAAGTGATCTTTATAACTCTCGTAAATAGAGTATAGAACTAGATGAGCTTCTAAAATAACAATAATAACTAAAGAGAGAAGGCATTAACGTGAAATACTTAAGTGCGAGCGAAACAGAATATCCGTTTTTCTGTCTCTATTTGCGTATCGGGTTTTATTTGTTTACCACCGTGCCCTTGGTGGTAAACAAGTTTTCACCGCTTACTGATACATCTGTGTAACCCAAGTCAAATCCATATTTTAATACTTTATCCTTTTAAGAGGTGTATTTAAAGTGTCAGTCTTGGTGAATTCTTGCATAATTTGCTGTAAAAGCTATAGTGAACGTAAAGAACCAAACATAACCTTTCATCGGTAAGTAGCTTATTTTGTCACGACTCAGTAAGTTTGTTCAAGAATTATTCATTCGAATGTGTATTTTGGTCAATAATAAGCAATCTTCAATTAATTAAAACTGTAAATACGACAATATTTGTGGCATATAGATATACATTATGAAGTTATGTCAATCATTCGCTATCTCACACGCTGTACGCTGATGCCTGGTCTATACCATAGTCCGTCTACGATAACTCTACTTTAATAGATAATATCAGTCTTGTTTAGAAGTAACTTCACTGCTAGATTAAAAGTTAATTGTCACAATTGAACTAATTCAGTTTAAAATTTAAAAAAAACGTTTGGCGCAGAACTTGCTTCGTCTGGTATGGTTCACTGGGATATTTAATTTTCCTTGGAAATAGTACTGATCAGAGCGCAATCATGACAAAAATTGTGTACATGTAAACATTCCTAATTACATAATGATCCAATCAAGGAAGGATCCAGGTCGTAGGACCAGCCTTGCGATTCTGTAACTGATTGAAGCAGTCATTTTATGATTTGACATTCTGATAAGAAGGGAGCTTGTAGTTTATTGTTTATCAGAATGCCAAATTATAAAATGACTGCTTCACGACTGATTTGAGCGCGACCGCCGCTGCGGAAACCGCTGTGTGAGTTCGAAAAGTGAGTTACAGAATCGCAGGGCTGATCAGAGTTCCACTTATTTCAAAATTAATTAATAGTCGTAAAACAGCTTTTTTTATAGATATATCTGTATAAAGAACCCATTCCGTCACTTTATCATTTAATTTTTTTATAGACACATTAATAAAAACTGGGGGCCTTATCGCTTTCCAGGCAACTAGTGAGAAAAAAACAATTAAATTAGATAAGGTGAGCGCAAGAAGTGAAAATATACATAAGACATATATGTCTATTTCTAATTAAACAAAACTAATGGAACAAAACAAAGAAATTAAAAACATGTAAAAGTGAGCATGACTATTATAAAAATAAACGAGACGAGAAAAGGAAAAAGCGGCACATGAATCACGGTAATTATAGATCAGTTACTACAAGGGATACGACGTGGACAGGTGAAAGACAAAGAAGGAGCTAAGCGAATAGGATTTCTATTCTTTTTTATATACAACATGGGGTAAAGGAACAAGAGGCTCATCTGGTGCTAAGTAATACCGTAAGGTAATGTGATAAGGTCTAAAATTAGGACAAGCCCAACATGTGCTTCTACATTGCCCTATATTCGCACCGTTCAGGCAGACCTGGAGCAACAAATACAGATAACTGTAGACCGTAACGGCCTACAGGACATGTTAACAAAGCACAGACCGTGCCTGGAACGAATGTGCGAATAAAAAAATTAAATATCTAAAGGCGGCAAACAAAAATCATAGAACGGGTCTCGCAATGAATTGCGACCCGGCTCGCCCATGAATATTGTTAATAAACATATTACC